CTTGTTGAAAACTGTAAGTCCGATTGCTTTGATATTACATATATAGGTACTACATGTGGACCTCTCTCAGATTTGTTCGTTTTGTGATGATATCTTCAATTCTCTAATTAATTTATTTTGGTGAATATTTTTGTAATTTTTGGTAAAAAGTGATATTTTCGACTTCTTGTTGAAAACTGTAAGTCCGATTGCTTTGATATTACATATATAGGTACTACATGTGGACCTCTCTCAGATTTGTTCGTTTTGTGATGATATCTTCAATTCTCTAATTAATTTATTTTGGTGAATATTTTTGTAATTTTTGGTAAAAAGTGATATTTTCGACTTCTTGTTAAAAACTGTAAGTCCGATTGCTTTGATACTATTCATATTGTTCATTTTCTAATGATGTCTTCACTTCTTTAATTGAAATGTGCATTGCTAACAGCGGAGCTATCTCAGCCGATAGGCTGCTTGTTGGCCTTACTATGATATTTCCACAATTTATGTACCATTTTCATTCGTATTTGACACATACATCATACATATCAGTGTGTTTCATAATCAGATCAAAGATGGCCGAATAACGGCTGTTTTTATTTTTGGCCATATTACTACTACACGGAACACGTGTTTTGTTGTAAATAAACAATCTGTTGTATACGCCACGTGGAACTCAAGTTTCAAGGACAGGCTCGCGACAACCCCTCCGCTTTAATATGACGAGCACAATCAGAACTTTCCAAAATTTAACGGGGACTGTGTCATTTTCAATGACTTGTTACTTTATTGCTGTAGACTGATAGAAAGATTGTATTTCTAAGGATGCAATAAAGATTATTATCATCATTATTATTAGTATTTCTCATAATAAATTATTATTATTATTATTATTATTATTATTATTATTATTATTATTAAGCTTTCATTCCCTACTTTTTTTGACACAAATTGAATTCACCGACCATACAAAGGAAAAGTAACAAATTATTAACTAATCAAATCTCCAGTTACATAGTAATTATTTCCAGCAGCACCATGTACTCAGATTACTTCAATTACATACTAATTACTTTTAATTATACATAAATTACTTCTGTTACATTACTTCCAATTACATGATATACAAACCAATTACTTCCCATTATATACTGATTACTTTTTCTTTTTTTTCAAGTTACACTATTTACCTACTAATTACTGTAAAATGACTAATTTTCACTGGGTTTAAATTTCACTGATTTAGCATTTCAGGCATATTCAGTGGGTTTTAAATTCACGGTTTTATCATTTAGATAATGTGTTCTATCCTCAATTTAACATATTCACTGTGTTTTAATTTAATGCATTTTCCAGTCAGCGAAATGAGCAAAATTAAAACCCAGTGAATGATTAACCATTTTACAGTACCTCAGATACACAATAGTTACATCTAATGAATACTAATTACTTCAGCTTCATGATTATTATGCATTTAATTTCACATAATGATTGTATTGTTCTCTACTTTGGATTACTTGAACCTCCAATCATTTATATTGCTTTCATTTCAGTATGTCTATGGATCAGACAAAGGTGCCCGTGGATTGGGAACCGATATCTCATCATTAAGTTGTCAAATATTCTTAGCACAGATTCTTGTCTCTGTGCTTCTTGGAACTGTTATCCGTGCCACTGGATCTCATCTGGCCATAGTCTTGTTTGCTTCTGGGGCAGGCTTTCTAGCAGCATTCTGTTCTGCCCTTATTGTGGTGTATGAAGTTCCTGAACCTTCAGATGAGGTAGAACCACTTATACGAAATGATGATGCTGTTGCTTAGATACCCTTAAAAAAAACTATGCTGAAACTACTTACATGTGTTTTACTGAAATATACTAATTTTGAGCATTGATCATGTTATTGTCACATGTTACATACATTGTGTAGTGTACATGTACCTGATTACCCGTAAATTATGGTCGTAAACAAGCATTACAATTCAGTCAAGTAAGGTTATTTGTAACATACTTATAGCTTGCATGTCATTTGCCGTAAATTAAGGTAACATACGTGCATTACAAATAAGTCAAGTAAGGTTACTTGTAACATTACTTACATCGTACATAATTACTGTAATGAACCTGTATTGCACATCAATCAATTATGGTTACATGTAACATTACATATGGCATAAATGATTATGCATAATATTCTGACATATTCCTTCACTGTATGTATGTAATGTTTCTCGTATCTCTAACTGTACCCCTGTAACAGCGGTAAACTACTTTGCTTCTTATCTTATTTGATTATTTTCAGACACTTTAATAGTGCGTTTGGATGTTTTATAGTATCTATGAATAACATAGTTGTATATTCAAAGTAACCAAAAATGAGTATTACGACATGAATTGTCCTTAGTAGTAACCGCTGTCTACATATCACAGGTGATATGCAATGGAACATAATACAACTGCCACTAGAAGTAACCTGTTTCAAAACGATTACAAATAATGTTGGGTAATTGTATCCTTACTTAGAGAAGTGTAATTTCTTTTACAATTTTTTGTTATTGTATCCATTACTTGTAAGCTTTGAAACAGTTTGTTATAATATATCTATATCTATAATTACCGGGGTCTAAAATACATGTCTCAAAAATGACTGATGTGTAAGGCAAAAGTGATAATTTAACCCACAACGTAGTTGCAATACACCTTTTTAGTATTTGATTTAATTAATTTTTGTCTTTTAAAGGCTGTGAAAAGATGAATTTAGAGAAGAATATCCGGCTCAAGGCAAAAAAAAAATTTGTTTTTGATGATGTGTTTTTTTTGTTTTTTTTTTGCCTTTCAAAAAGTATTATTAGCCTAAGAGAAACATAGTGAAATAAATGGTGTAAGAATAGTATCATTTTTGACTCCCGTGTGCGAAGCACAAAAAGGGAGTCTTTGCAGTTAGTGTGTCTGTGTGTGTGTGTGTGTGTGTGTGTGTGTGTGTCCGTCTGTTCCACTGATATCTCAAGAATCATACATCAGTTTTTGATGAAACTTGGTGCATAGATGCTCTGGGCCAATGCGCAGATTTGATTAGGTTTTGGTAAAAATCCATGCATATTAATTACCTAATTTGCATGATAATTAGCTGATTTTTAGCTGTTCCACTGATATCTAAAGAACCACTCATTGGATTTTGATGTAACTTGGCACACAGATGCTCCAAACTAATGCGCAGATTTGATTAGTTTTGGGTAAAAATAAAATCTGTGCAATATTAATTACCTAATTTGCATAATGATTAATCAATTTTCGGCTTTTACACTGATATCTCAAGTAGTAATCATCACATTTCAATAAAACTTGGTACATAGATGTCATAGGACACTGCACAAACCTGATAGTTTTTAGGGTAATATCAGTACATATTAATTACCTAATTTGCATAATTTATTAATTTTCATTTTTT